GTACAAAAAATTAAAAAAAGGTGATATGACCAAGTGATGAATACAAGGATGAATCGATCGACATAACCTGCGAGTTATGATCGAATGAAGAAAATAATATGGATCAGTGGACAAAGTTTATTTTGGAATGGTTAGCGTTGAGAAACCTATGAGTGGTGACCTAGTGATGGACGATGAAATTTATTTTGGAATGGCTAATGCTAAGACACCTATGAGTAGTGACCCAATGATGGTAGATGAAACTTGTTTCAAAATCTGTTAGTGTTGAGAAGCCTATGAACGGTGGTCAAGTGATGATCAATTGATGAAACTTGTTCCAAAGTGTTAAGAAGCTAAACAATGAAGAAATGTGAGATGATAAAGTCTTGAGAACCATATTACCACGTTTTGATTAGAATTTCATGACATTGACATCCACATTACATGCAGAACGTTTGCATTATTATTTGGAGACTGTTTGAAACTTTGGTTTGGATATGCATTTACATTATGCAGTAGACATTTGAATCATGGTTAAGAATATGGCATTGTGAGAATTTAGATTATTGCATTTGCATCATTAAAGAAGCATTTGCATCATTGATCATGACATTCATTACATGCAAAATTTTGAATCCCTTAAAAAGAAAATTTGTGAGTTTTTTAAGAGATTTTGAGTTCTCAATGCGAATATTTGGTTTGCAAATGAGAATCTTTTGAATTTCAAATGAGGAATGGTTTGAGATGGTGAAACCCTTAGATTTGTCAAATGGAATATTTGAACTTGAATGAGAGCTTTGAATTTTTAGATGTGAGATCTCCAAGATTCAGACCAAGAATATGAGCCTGGCAACTTGCAAATGCCAAATATTGAATCGTGCAAAGTTGAGTGAAATTTGAGAATCAAATTTCACTGAATCTCCTGTGAAGCTGAAAGGTCTTTGCAATATGAGCCTTCAAATTGTTGAACTCAATGGAATCTTTGAGTTTGCCATTACAAATCTCCATCACACATTGATCTATGACTCATTCTGTCATGATTGCTCAAAGAGCAATTTATTTTTTCAAAGTTCTGTTGCCTCTATTTAGAGGAGCAATTTATTTTTTCAAAGTAGTCGTGCCCTGTTTTACTTTTCGAAAATTGCAGTGCCTCTATTTAGAGGAGCAATTTATTTTTTCAAAGTCACAGTGCCTCTGTTTATAGGAACAATTTATTTTTTCAAAATCATAGGGCCTTTGTTTAGAGGAGCAATTTACTTTTCAAAGTTATGGTGCCTCTATTTAAATGAAAAATTTATTTTTTCAAAGTTGTGTTGCCTCTATTTAGAGGAGCAATTTATTTTTATTTTAAAGTTGTGGTGCTTCTATTTAGAGGAGCATTTTATTTTCAAAAGTCGTTGAGGCTCTGTTTAGAAAAGCTTTGTTTACTTTTTCAAAAAAAAAAAAGGTGTATTAAGTTGATTGGGCTGTCTACATTTTTGGACAATTCCTATTTCACAGAAAATACGCAAAGAGTGGCAGCTGTAGACACCTTAATCTATCCAGAGGTCTACATTCAATTTTTGTTAATAAAATAATAAATAAAAAAAAATCTAACCGGTTGAGTTTGTGTGAAATTGTATGAAGAGTTTAAGTGGGATTAAAATTTAGAGTTAAAACTTAAAAAGGATTAAAACCTTTTCTAAGTTAAGGTTCTTTGAATTTAAAACCTATAAATACATGCCCACACAACTCCAAAAGAACACAGAACATAGAAACATAATTAGTGGAGAAATAAAAATTTTGACAGCAGGTGAGGGAATGTGAAGCTGCTGGCACCAAAAGAAGGCAAAAAAAAAAAAAAGAACTAAAAAAAAGGCTGGGCAACAAGAACAGAAGAAGCTAGCAGGAACCAAAAAAATAATGGAAGGCAACAGTGGAGAGGAACCACATGTGTGTGGAACAGGTGCCTTTGTGTGCTTTGATGCCTTAGTGTCATGTGATAAGCTAGCACATTAATTTGGTAGAATTTCATCCCAAAGGCTTACATCAACTTTGGTACTTTTACTTACTTTTATTTAGTTTTTTTTTTTTTTTGCAAATTCTTTAATTGTTTGGTACTTGTTTTTTTTCTTGATTGTTTATTCATTTGTTTTGCATAATTGTTTATTTATTCACTTTGTTTTATGATTTTCATTATTTGATATTAAATAAAATAATAAAATAAATTTTGAGAATAAATATTAATTATCCAATGATGAAATTTATAGAAATTTCAAATGGTAAAATTTTATAAAATTTTTAGGTGATAAATTTTATCTAAATTTGTCTCAAATGGTGGAATGATTTAGATAAAGTTTCAATAACAATAATTAATATTTATTTTCAAACAAAAAATAAAATAAAAATAAAAAAATTTTGATTGAAAATATTTGACAATTATCTAATGATGATATTCTTAAAAATTTCAAATGATAAATTTTTTAAGAAATCTGTAAGTGAGAAATTTCTTTAAATTTGTCACAAATGGTGAAAAAAATTTAAATGAAATTTCAATAAAAAATAATTATCATATTATTTCTTTCTGAAAACAAAAAAAGAGGAAATAAATAAATAGAATTTTAAATATGCCCCAAATGGTAGAGAATTTAGAAATTAAAAAAAAATTTAATTTAACCCAAATTGTGGAATAATTAGATGTATTTTCAATAAAAAAAATTAAACATTTTTGATGATGAGCTTCTTCAAGAAATCAAATAAGATTCTTGAATACTTTAATGTGAGAAAATATTCTAAGAATTATGCTAGATTGATAGAAAAATCTTAAGAATTATTTTCAATATTTGAATATTATATTTAAAATATTAGAACTCAAAGACCTTATGAGAAATTCAAAATAAAATGGTACCATCATTTGGATGGGCATGTGGGGATACTATAATTTTTTCTACATGTAACCAAACTTTCGAATTATGTTCTGGTTAACAAACTCGAACCTATTCTTCTAAAGACTCTTAGTCAAGCTTAGGAGCTCTTAAAGAAATAGATTTTTTAGGTGATCAATCACACCTAATAAAAAAGATTGGTGGCAACTCTATTCATTTGTTAAGTCTAGTTATAGATTTACGGATCTATATGTTATGACAATGACTATTTTGAATGCTCTATATGATATGTATAAAATGATGCTTGATCTGATAAGATGTGTGAGCCTATACTTACTGAGTTATGATTTATTTATTCTCTTTTACTTTTTCTTTTACAGATGATACGAATGTTAAGTATAATTAGTTTTATGAAAAACTAAAAAATTAAATGGAATATATTACTTATTTGTCCGAGATAATATTAATAGTAAGATCTTATGAAACAATTATGTATTTTATATAATTTGTATTTAGATATATAAAATATATTTTTAATAAATTAAATATATAAATTTTACTTGATAAATTATATTAATTTATTAAAAAATTTTAAAATAATTTAAAAAAATACTTCATATTATTCGAGATTTTATTTTAAAATAACATGACCCTGTTATATATTAGTCTTAGGGTGTGACAGTTGCACAACATGTTCCAGATCGATTGTCGACCATTGAATTGCTCTTTCCTTTTTTCTCAGTTATTTTCGGGTCTCTTCAATCCATCGAGAATTTGAGAAGTCAGAAAGATTGGAGCAGCGGTAAACGTAGGTATTTAAGCTTTTCTCCCAAGTCCTTAATGTAGGACAAGAATTTCGTATTCAATTTTAATATTATTATGTTACGAAGACTGTTGACTTGGAGCAGACTACATATTATATTTTGCTCTCAAACGCTATATATAACCCCCCCGGTATGATATTATAAAATAATAAAAAATAAAAATAATAGGATTTAAAATATTAATAAAATAAATATAAATTTAATAAAATAAAAAATATTTCATATTTAAAATATCACCATATATTACAAAATAATAATATTTATATTTTAAATATATTTAATATGAAATAAAAATTTATATATATATATGAATTATCTTGCTTAAATTTGAATAAATTAAATCATTATATATTTATATTTTTTTTCCTTCTATAATTTTCTTTTAAAACTACCTAATTGTAATCCGATGCTACAATCCGTCCCGACTCCCAAAACAATAAAAAAAAAATAGTTTGGGTTCAAAATATAAGAGACGTAAAAGAAATTCCTTTATATGATCATGGTATCACCATTTCAAACATTGCGGCAGCTGGCGTGCGAAACATGTCTTAACAAGGGTCAAACTTTTGATAAAGTTAAAACAGCTTTAATGTGCTGTAATTGAGTCATCAGATTTTTTTTTACGACTACATGCTAATTTAACATTGACGTTACTGTTAAAATAGTTTGGATTTAAAAAAGTACACTTAAAAAATATGATTAAAAATTTTAAGTATGTGACATTATTATAAAAATATTATAAGTAAATGAAATATTTAAAAAAGTATAAAATATTAAAAATATAAAAATATTAAGGTGATTTATTTATCTTAAGTACATTTTTCCACGGTAAAAAAATATCTTGAGCTTTTGTATTTAAATTGGAGAATCAAGTTTTTTAATTGAAAGGCTAAATTATTTTTATTATTTAGTATTGTGTTTGATCGAAAATTATTTTTAAACAAAAAAAAATTACTTTCAACAACAATATTATAAGACCTAATCAAAATAAAACAATTATACAATTGTTAAGAAAAATGAATACAACAACCCACTCGAACTCAACCTACTAACTTTATTTATAGATTTTAGCAAGGTGGGTGGTCGTTGACACTTTTTATCATTTCAAATAAAAGATTCCAGGGAACATTACTTCATTTCAATATATACTTTTATTTTATTTAAATTATGTTACATAATTATATTATAAAAAATTAATTAATTATTATATATCATAGATATAAATAAATTAAAATAAATATTTATCATTTAATTATCATATATGATATATAATAAATAATTAATTTTTTAATAATATAATTACTTGTTATGATCTGAATAAAAATATATGTAAATATGGAGTGTACAATCTTTTTCATTACCATAATTATCACATGCATTCTGTTGGAGATCTTTCTTTATTTTGATGACTATTTATAACTGAAATATAAATAAGATTCAATTGCAAAAATACCCAAAAACTGTAAAAGGATAAACAAACAAGAGATATGTTTTTTTTTTTAATTTATTTTGTATTTTTTATTCATTTGACATTTTTACTTTTTTTAATTATTTTTATTAAAAAATAAAAAAATTATTAAACGGAAGCAAGTAAAGCAACGAGCAAAGGTAGCTCAACAAATTCACCACGGTCAAACAGTTGAATCCATGAATAGAAAACAAAGTCACTGGAAAATCCCGTTATTAACAATACTGAAACCCCCTTTTCCGGACCCCACTGCTTTACCTAAATCACCTAACGCAACATCGGCGCACGTAAGCACCGTCCTCTCCGCCACCCTACTTCCATCACTCACCTTCGCGTTCTTCAAACTTCCCCACCGGGAAACCCCTTCGCCGTTAATCTCACACACCACCAATTCCTCAGGCTCTTCAGGGTTGTATATGTACAAAACACCATCCATCAAACTTATTTTTATTGAACTTAAACTTGTATGTTTCCCTTTCAGCTTTTCCACCAACTCTTTTGGCATCACCCCGATTTCTTTACAAAACTTAAATGATTCGCCCTTTAATTCCCAGATTTTGACGTCTTTAACATTCTCGGAATTTCCAAGTAATCCCACCATGATCATTTTGTCCCCGAAAATTCCAATCACAGAAAAGTAAATGTTCTGATCATGTCGCAGGTCGAACGGACCCGACCAAATCCTGGAGCTCGGATCAAAAGAATACGCAATACCAGAAACTTGCTCCATGGCGTACAATTTTTTAGAATTGGCTGCTACAGAGAGCCACGTGGAAGCTGCAGAGTCTTTGAGGATTGCTGGCATGGACTCACACGTATCCCACTTGCGAGTGTCGAGATCGTAGATTTCAACCGAAAGTGGATCATCCTCGAAGTCGCAGGCGCCTCCAGCGACGATGATTTGGCGGCCCACCATGGCCACGATAGGGTCGGTGCGCCAGACAAGGGGTGGGTCCACGTGGTGCCATGTCAGGTGGAGGGGGTCGAAAGAGAAGGAGAATTTAGAGAGAGACAACATGTAGAGGAGCGTGGAGTTGGACGAACGGAGAGCTGAGACGTATTCGATGGGTGGGTTTTGGTTGATTCGGAGCCAGAGGTTGGAGCGTGGGTCGTAAGCTAAGGCGGTGGTAGCGTAGGGAGGGCGTGAGCTCTGAGCGTGGACAATTAGCCAAGGTTTGGGCTTATTGAAGTGGCGAAGAGAGGAGAAGACGGCGTGGTTCCATGATTTGGACACGTGGCTAGCTGAGAGGAGATGGATGAGAGGAACATGACAGAGAATTGATTCTAAGACATCTCCTTGAATATTAGCTTCAGCTGCTTGATCTTCTTTACTCAGCTTCTGTTCTTTGGTCATCGTAATTCGTGAAATCTAGAGTATATTTAATTTTTGCGATTTAGCGCAATTTATAAAGGCTCGGGAAGAGAATAACGACGTGGTTCAAGGACTGTGCACGGAAAAGAGAGCTCTATTTTTTTTTTTTTTAATTTATTAACCACACCAACCAACAATGTGCCAATTATTCCACATTCTGCCTTTATCCTTCAATCCATAAAGTCGTTAGTAATTATTGAACAAATTTTGAGTTAATTATATTTTAAAAAAATAAACGGTATAAAAGTCTCTTAATTATATTAAAAAATTATTTGTTTTTATTATAATTAATTAATTTTTAATATTTATTTACATTAAATTAAACTTTTATTTTGATGCATTAACTTTTTTTTATTAACAAATATAAAATTTCATTTGATATCAATAAAATATATATAAATTTATCACGTAATTAATATATAAAAATTAAATAAAATAAAATTTTTTTTCTTTAAGATTTTTATTTAGACATAATTTTATGTGAATTGATTTGAATTTGATTTAATATTTGATTTGAAAGATTTGATTTAATGCTTTATTTGAATGATTTGATTTCAGTCAATTAAAACATTTTAATTGAATTTATTCGTTTGGGTTTATCTTGAATTAATTGCTTTTGTGTAATTTTATATAGGTTAAAATTCAATTCAATTTTATTTGGGTTAAGGTTTAATTTAATTTAGATCAATTCAGCATTTATTTATTTAGACTTAAAGGCCCAAAAATTAATGTGAACCTGAATTTCAATTTTAGGTTCAAATTAAGTTTTAAAATACAATTTTATTTTCATTTTTTTTATTATTCAGAGTTAATTAAATTAATTAAAAATTAAAAATAAACAAAAAAGAAAGAAAATAGATTGAAGTGCTGACAACCAATTGTACCAAGAGTAGCTCTTCTGCCCATTCCACGCCACAAGCAACCAAAATTTTGAATTGCTTTTCAAATGCAGCGATTGTATTGCTACATTTCTATTCCTATGTTGGCTCTACAAGACCTCAATTTCACAAATAAAAGCCAAAAGAAAAGGCTCAACAAAGGGAGCAATGGCAAAAAATCTTCACAGAGGCATAGACATCCATTTTGTCCGGGATAATTGCATACCATTTTTCAACAAACAAATATGGTTAGATCCATGTTTAAGTTGAGTTATCGAATTTAACTTAATTACGCTTTTTAATTTGATATGTTTGTGGTTTATGTCATTTTCCACTGGCTTTTTTTTTTCCCTTTTAGGCTTTTTCTTTGGGTTGTTTATTATAACAATTTTGAAGATCGCTAAATGAAAAATTTTAAAGTTTCAAAATAAGATGAGTTATCATCAATCTTTTTTTAAGGTATGATTGACTATCTAAATAGTTTATTATTTTTAATAAAACAATAAAACAAATTTAAAATTTATCAAAAAGATAATTTTGATCTACAAAATCAAAATTGGATTCTAGAGTACAGTTATGTGTGAAAAAAAATTAGCACTCCACTGTGCCCATTTTAAAACAATACAAATTGATCATATGTTATCTTTAATCTTGATAAAAATGGTTTTAATTCTAATATTTAAAAATAATTCCTTAAAATTTTATTTTTTTATGAAAACATTTTTTTAAAAAACTTTTTATTTATAAATAAGATAAAAATTTGAGTATCGAAATATTTTTTTAATTCTCCAATATTTAAGTAGAATTTCAAATAATATTTCTTTACTTGGGTTTTTCATACTAATTCCTCAAAAATTTCATAAAACATTCCTTTATAAATACTAATTATTGAAAAACCCTCCAATATCTTGGTAGGGTCCCAAGAATTATTTTTACTTGGGAATATTAGTTTTTTTATTATTTAAACAACTCATCCAAAAATCCATCATTTAATTTTTCGAAAACAATGAAATGCAGGCAAATATCATATAGGGCGAACATATGACATCAATGGAAATTAAAATTTAAAATGCAGACAATAAATTAAATTCATCTAAAACATATTTTAAATTTTATTTTTGATTCATTTTTAAAAAGACCTTTTATTTCGAAAAAAGATGAAAATTTTTAATATCAAAATATTTTCTAATTCTTTAATATCTAGATAGAATTTTGAAGAATATTTTTTCACTTAAAATTCTTGCGATATTCCTTAAAATCTAGCTTTATATTCCTCTGTGAAAAGTAATTATTGAAAAGCCCTCTCATATCTAAGCAGAGTCTCAACGATTATTTTTACATAGGATTATTAACCATTATTTATAAGACAAACTAATTTTCAAAATGATCACTTATAATTTCACATGTTTTATTATAGATCATAATGCAACATAAGACACTAAATGATGCAAATACAGAAAATCAACCAACTTAACTTATCTTATATGGTTTTAACCCTTTTTTATCATGATTTTTTTAAAGAAAAATCAAGAGGAAATAAATTTTATTTTTGTTATTTATTTTTTGTAAAGGAAAATTTTCTTTAATTCTTCAATATTTAGGTAGAATTTTGAAAAAATTAATCATTCAAAATATGATTTGAATTATCTCAATATCTAGGTATGGTTTTAAATATTTTTTGAGAAAAATCATCATGTATTTTATTTATGAAATCTTTTCTTTAAAAAAAACATCCATAATAAATTTATTTTAAAGAGTGAATATTAAATAAATATTAAAAACAAATAAAATAAAAAGAAAGAAGAATATATTTAATTTGTAGCCTAATCCATAAGTGATATGCTTTAAAAATCCAAATCAATTTAAAGCCCAACTCCATATCTAAACCCAAATTCTTAAGCTTAAATGTACCACATAAGAATGCATCCATACAGATTTGGGCCTATCTAAGATCATGGGCTAATGTAGGTCGGGTCCAGCTAGGTTTGGGCAGATGAGTCTTGGGTTGGGTTTGACTAGGTCAACATTTTCTTCTCTTTTTTTTTTCTTTCTTTTTATCCTTTTTTTGCCTTTTTCACACCAATAGTCTTTCCCTTCTTTTTTTTTTTCATTTTTTTCTTTTATTACTTCATTCTTTTTTTTCTTCTTTTCTTCTCCGTTAAATGGCCCAGTTGAGAGCCCTTTTTCTTTTTCTTTTGGTTTTTCTTTTTTCTTTCTCTTCTTAACTGAACCAGACTAAAAAAATTTTCTTTTTTTCTTCTTTCTTTTCTTTTTTTTCTCAATTGAATGGCCAAATAGTTGATCAATATTTTTAAAAATTTTTTCATTTGGTGGTATTATATTTGATTATTGTTTGTTTGTGATTTTTGATTTTTGGGAAGACTGTAAGGTGTGGGTTTTCAGTTGATAATGGTTTTTTTTTTATGTTTTTTGTTGGTGTTAAGTTATGAATGGGTTGAGATTTGGTTAGATATGGGAGGCAGATTAGTGGTTTTTTTTTTTATTGGATGTTAAGTGCTAGGGATATGGATGTTGAATGGGTGTTAAAAGCTGTTGCTTGATGGTCGAATAGTCTTGTTTGTTGTTTTAATTTTTCTTATATGAATTTCAACTGGGATGCTATTTGACTATGATGGTGGGTTACGATTTGAGGATGATTTTTTTTAGTTGTGAATTGGGATTGTGAATGGTGGTGGAATTCAATTGTAAAAGATGGTTGATAGCTTTGGTGGGTTTAGCCAAATGGTGCTACTTGGGTGTTTTAACGTGATTTGGTGGAAAGGTCGAATGGTGTTGGGTGTGATAGGTTCATTGACAAATAGGTTTCGATAGAGAGTGGCATGGATGGTGCTAAGCTGAGTACATTTGACTGATGATGGTAATGGTGGCTTGGGTTTGATTGGGTTTGTGAAGTTTTTTTTTTTTTTGTTATGTAATGTGGAATCGGATATTGAAGATTGGTGGCTTTAGTGATATTCTTAATATGGTATTGAGATTAATGGAAGTATGGTAGTAGTAGCTGGTCAAAGCTGGAAGTGACCTTAATGGAGTTGAAATTTTTGTGAGAAAATTTTTTGATTGCCAAATGGTTAAAAATTTGATGGTTTTTTTCCTTCTTTATAGAACCAGAATGGAACCTTTTTTACTTTGTTTGTAGTTAGCACTTTGAAGTTTTGTTGCAGTAGAAGTTGTTGCATTTTAGGGTTTTACAATGCTACATTTTGAGGGAACAAAAAGTAAAAAATTTTGATCAAATCATGTTGGAGATAAATGAAAACAAAAAAAGGTAAAAACAATCTATAGCCAAGGATGAAAATGTGCAGTGCTGGTCATAGTTTGAAAAGAAAGTGAGGGTGAAAAGCTTGGTAATGGAAATCCCTTTTTTCATTGTTTTTGTAAAAAAATTTTTTTAGAATTTTTTGTGTAATTTTTCAATTAATAATTTGGGTTTTAAAATTAAAATTTGGACTTTAAATTTTCTTAAAACCTATATAAGATTGGCCCAATATTGACATAGAGTGGTTTTTGATCCAATTAAAATGATAAAAAATGATTCATCCAAAATAAAGTTTGAATGAGCTCAATTTGATAAATTCAATTAAAAAGTTTAAATTTTTCTCATATCGAAATATTCAAATCAAACACAAAAAATTGAAAAAACTTGAGTGGATTTGGATAAAATTAGGTGTTTACACTCTTCATAAATAAAATGTGGGCTTAGTTCATGGTTATGGGCTAAACGGGTGGAAAAGTTTGAAATGAAAATTGAAACGCATTGGTGGTTGTCATCTTTTTCAAATGCTAAAAAAGGTAAAATTGCATATGCAAAATGGCAAACAATAGAAATAGCAACGTTGATTAGTGGTGCATGGTGGCACAGATGTTGGTCACTTGCCGAGTTGTTGGTATTGGGTTTCAAGTTGGTTGGCCATTGTCAGTTTGTCAGTGAAAAGAAAAGAATTTTTTTTTTTTTTTGTGAAAAGGTTGTAAAATGAGGTTAAAAAAATGAGTTTTATAGTAAAAAAAAAGGAAAAAAAAAAACAACATCTATTCGAAAAGATTCGTTCGTGGACCTGAATCTGACTCGAGGTCTCTGTCACCGGATCAGGTGCCCTGCTTCAGCTAAAAGCAAAATCAATCCAAAC